CATGACTGAATCTGGCCTGCAAGAACCCTACCATACAGACTGCAATACCCTACCACACACACAGAGTGTTACCCGAACTACAGGTTACTAAAAACATTCAGGCCAATGCGCGGCCTCCAAAAAAAATTTGGCTGCCCGTTTCTTATTTTACGCGAGCAGGGGGCCGGGTCTACTACCGCCCCTCATAAGTTCTTTTTTTTTTTTGACCTCCATTTTTTTAGGTGCGCCGCATGCAGTGCGCGCGCGTCGTGCGGGATGCGCGGTGCGGCGCACGTGGCTGCCCGTATAGGAATTGAAAAGACCAAAATATGGTGGATGCATACGTTCAGTGTATAGGACTTGAAAACACCAAAATGTGGTGTATGCATCTGTTCAGTGTATAGGGAAAAGACCAAAATACGATGGATGCATCTGTTCGGATTCTACCACGGAGATACGGTCTGATTTTGCACAACGGCCCCTCACCAATGTTCTGTTTTTCTTTATATATCATCAGAAAGCAAAAACATGAGAAAACGGACATCGAGTTTTATATTTCCAGCAGTACACAGAACAAGCTGTTCGAGAAAGCACGCTTCGCCCTCATCATGACTGTACTGGACCTCGAAGCCTTCATACATGTGATGGCACACACACACACACACACACACACACACACAAGACCCAAATATTCTTTTTTTCTGCCTTGCCATATTTTTCCTGGAACGGTGTGGTGTGGCACCACAACCTGCCCCTCGCCAATTTATTTTGACCACCCCCTATTTTCGGGGGTACACCGCACTGAGTGCGCGCACATGCATGCACATGCGCTGGGCACCGCACGTGCGGCATGCACGTGCACCCAGTGAGCCACATGCATGGATAGGAGTCTCGTGCGCTGGGCACCGCACGTGCGGCATGCGCATGCACCCAGTGAGCCACCGCACGTGCGGCATGCGCATGCACCCAGTGAGCCACTGCACGTGCGGCATGCGCATGCACCCAGTATGCCAGACGGCACACAAGTACCTCCCTGATCACGGGTCGGAAAAAACTTGTTAAAAAAAAGGAAGACACCATATGCCTGCTCTTTACTCAAAATTGTGGCAAAGCAACAAAATTGCTAGAGCACGCTTCCCATTTGTTATTCCAGTCACTGCATCAAGTCACAGATTGCACTTTTGCTACCTTTTCTCTACTTCTTTCAACCACTGCACAATGGGCTCGTATTAGTTGGCTCTCTCTCATCATCCACTTCCATGGCTAACTTTATCTGTTTCTCCTTGCACAAATTCGTTATCATAAGTCTTGGAGGACTTAGCACATGCAGGGGGGCATAATGCCTATTCCCAGCTGAGCGACGTACGCCCCTCGTGGGTTCAGTAAGCTAGAGCAATAAGTGAACTCATCCCACTGGGCCTCGCACCAATTCAATCAATTTTCAATTCCAGTCTACCTAAAAGGTCCGATGCTTGAACTTATCTGTCCCATGTTATCTCCACAGGAGGTATATCCGGGCCAAGGGAAGAGGGAGGGAGGGAGGGAGGGAAGGAGAAAGAAAGGGGGAGAGTAACTGACAGGCAAGCACCTCCGTCAACGAACTCCATGAAAGTAAATTCTCCCACATCAAGTACGGAAGTTAGGGAAGCATCAGAATTTAGGGGTTCAAGAAGAAAGGACAAAACAATAATCCAACTCAGCTTACACGGTGAGCTTCAGCAGCCGGTGAAGTCCTTCAATTTCACTGATTTTGTTGTACTGCAAGTACAATTCACGGAGAGAGGTACAGCTGGACAGACCTGCAGAGCCACCAAGACACAGCCCAGAACATCATGCCTACCGGACAAAGACTGCAGGCCCAAAAAGCCCACACTTCCTCTGCCAGTCTAGAAGAGACATCACGGATTTGAAATCTCGCAGTCAAAACTTGAGGGACCTCCAGGACCAGAATAACAGGCCAGAGCACGCACGCCTAACCTCAGAACGAGATCAAAAGGCATTCCTCCAGTCCCTACACCTCCATGCGTTTTACCCTAACTTCGGTGCCATGCTGACAGTCCACTGCCGTACAGCCAGCCCAGTCACGACTCCAAAGTTGTCAAACTAACATACTGATATTACCATGACAGATACTCAACATATGCCTTTCTCAGCATTCAGCGACAAACTCATCATGAAGCCCAACTCGGTAGTTCATAAAATCGAGAAAAATGAAGAAACCACAACGCAATCATAACAAGGTTACCATGAAGAAACCACAACGCAATCATAACAAGGTTACCAGTTGCGGCTTCGCCCGCAAAAAAATGAAGGGAAAAGGGTGCAAATGAGGGAGCATAGGGGTTTGTTGGTCGGGTTACCGCTGCTTCGTAAGCCTTGGATATATATTTTTCTTTCTTTTTTTTTTTTGCTTTTTTGTCCTGTCAAACACCTGATCTCAGTTTGCAATCCTTTCAGTTGTGGTTTGCTGGGTTGGTGATTGTCCGGATTTGAATGTGTCACAATTTGCATTCATTATCCCATCCCTATCTTTTTTGTCATTTAATTACTCAAATAGTCAATTACTCTCGTATCGTATAATGAGACTTTTACCTGTCTCCCGCCAACCAAAAATATTCTTTCTCAGATGTCGGGAGATCCGCAATTCTGCTATCGTGCGGGGGGAAGGGCACGGACCCCGCAGTTAGTTAGATTGGTCTCTCTCTCTCTCTCTCTCTCTCTCTCTCTCTCTCTCTCTCTCTCTCTCTCTCTCTCTCTCTCTCACGCGCACGCATGCTTTCTTTTTAAGGTCTCAATGGACCACGGATCAGTTATGAAACCGATCGGAGCAGATACTACGCTGGATAGTGTGTGTGGGGGGAGAGGACGTGGTTAGTTAGATTGGGCTCTCTCTCTCTCTCACCCGGATCTTGCACGCACGCACTTACATGCTTTTTTTTTATATGAAACTGATCTGAGCAGATACTACACTTGATCGTTGGAAAAAGAGAGGGGAGGGGGGGGCAGCATGTAGTTAGTTCGATTGGGCTCTCTCTCTCTCTCTCTCTCTCTCTCTCTCTCTCTCTCTCTCTCTCTCTCTCTCTCTCTCTCCCTCTCCCCCTCCCCC